ATATATGTCCTAGGTTTCTGCCTGTTAAAAGGCAGTTTTTCCTTGCCCCCCTCGCCAAGTGCTTGCTTGTTATGTAATTGGCGCTATACAAATAAAATTGAATTGAATTGAATTGAATCTACGGTAGACCACTTACTTATTTTGAGAAGAGGGCAGGAAGAGGGCAGGTAATACAAGACAATAAAATAAAAAGACCCATCTTTATTGAAAGTCACTCATTTTCTTTCCAGAAGAACATTTACTTTAGCTTCTTGCAATGTGGGGCATTACTACACTGATTTGATTTGTTTTTAGAAGTGTACTCTGGTATGTATTCTGCTTAACTCAAAGGTGTCTGAGCCTTGTTACAGAAGCTTCCTCTATGTTTTTCTAGATGTGTGACAGGTGTGGGTGAAGTCTTACGTTGGCAGGTGTGAGTGTTGCCTTCCTCTGCAGGTCTCCAGGGCAGATCATTGTAGAGATCAGCACAGCGCTCACAGTTCACACCTGCTGTGTTATGCTGGCATTCACACTGAGGATTCACCTGCAGAGCACACAGGAAAAAGACTTGTCACCAATCATTATCATTAGCTGCTTTTCTTTTGTAAACTGAGGATAGATACAACTTGGATTACTCTATTTACTTATACACAGGGCTGCACAAAGTAGGGCCATATCCATAAAATATGTTGCTGAGTCAGTTTACTAAATGATAGAAAAGGGGTTTCTTATGGAAAAAGGTTTGGAACCACTGATATAAATCGCTGTTTTGTGAGGTAAAATTATCTTCAAATATGCAGGATCCCCCTCCCCTCCCTATGAACTGTTTTTCATAATCCAGGGCAAAAACTTTGGGCAGCCCTGCTTATACAGAAAGTGACACAGGGAAGCGAGAAACAATGCTTGTTAAATAAGGAGGATCAGTGAATGGGTTCCTGGATACAAAAGGATTGGTAAGTTTGGAATTAAATGTTTAGAATTCCATGAAATTTTCATACCAGTCAAATCACTCCCTCAAGCCATTTGATGAACATTTCAAAGCACATTTTGTCTTTAATTTGTATGATTTATATGACGATGATATATATGATATATATATTATATGATTGTACATTGTTTTACACACGAAAGGCAAAATAAATGTTATTTTTGAAAATTATTTAGATTATTGTAATTAATTGTTATAATTAATAGTTCAATTTTTTCAGTGTAGATTTTACACTTAAAGGGAGTAAAATTAACTCCACCAAAATAGTAAAAAATGTAACTCAGAGCAGTGTTATGTTGCATCACTCTTTCGTGAGTTAAAGAAGGCAATGTTTAATTATTTCAAAAGTGTTAATTTATCTGAGTGTGGAGCTATATAAACCCTGAAGAAGTGCTGAAATCAACCCTGTGGGAGTTAATTCAACACTGGACTTGTTGCTGTGTACCTTGCTGTAGGTCTCTGGCAGGCATCGGTTGGCGTGTCCGTGGCACATGCAGCTACCCATCACCCTCATCTCCTTGAGGGCATAAAATCTACTGAGAGCTCTGCCTGGGAGATGTGGCACATCGCCGAGCTCTGTCAGCCTCACCCTCAGCCCCGTCAACCCGGACACATCTGTGGAAGAGACAGCAGTCAGTCAGCGGGCCACAGCCTTTAACTCAAGACCAAAACACTCGTGATCCAGGAATTTACAGATTGAGACTTACCTTCAATTTTTTGGCTGTTTGGAGCCTGGACATAAGTATACTGACGCAAAGGACTGAACTGGATCTGGAGGAGAGGAAAAATATCAAGAAATGAACAACATTTTTTTTTTCTGCTGCACTAAAATATGGTTCTGTTGTGGTGAGGACATCTCAGAATATTGTTCAGTAATAAAAGAGAAATGTGGTGAAAACACAAAAGCAAATAAGCTCCTTCAAAGTAACAATAATAAAAAAATTATAAATTATAACCTGACAAAACTAAACAGGGCACAACAGATAGGTTGCACTTACTGTGTGATCTTGGTATGGGTTTGCTCCAGTAGGGGGCAGTGTGTAGCAGTATTTTTGGTCCATGGTGAGAGGAGTTGCTGTTGGGATGCCAGGAAATGCTGTTGCACAGTTGGTAGCCAGGTGGAGAGCGGGCTGCCACGTCCTGCCATGGTCCAGCGTCCTCTCTATAACAAAGGCACTGGGACGAGGACCCTGCAAAGGAGAGAAGGTGAATAAAGAACATATTAGGACCATAAATACAAATACACATGATCAAACTTTAAAAAAAAAAGGGATCCAGCAGACTGTATCATACCTTGAAGCTCAGCACCAGGTTGTCAAGCTGGAACAGGCTGTTGAGGTCCAGCTGGAGACTGACTGGATTCAGTTCTACAAGACAAACAGGCAGAGCACTATTCCATCAGCTACAGTGCATACTGTATGCAGTACTGCAGTTCACAGTGTACAGGGGGGCAAAGCAAATATACCAATTCACTACTGCCAATAGAAGGTTCTACCTTTCCTTCTTTCTTTCACTCCTACCAATACAAAAGCTTTCTTCTTTTTGTCTTCATTGGTTTCTTTCTTTCTTTCACTCCTGCAAACATAAAAGCTTTCTTTCTGTCTTTCTTTTTTCCTTCTTTCTTCATTCATTTCTTTCTCTTTTTCTTTCTTTCTTTCATTCTTTCACTCCTGCCAATAGAAAAGCTTCTAGGATCTCACTTCCTCACTTTCTTTCTTTCTTTGTATTTTTCTTTCTTTCTTTCTTTCTTTCTTTCTTTCTTTCTTTCTTTCTTTCTTACTTGAACATGGAATCCTTGAACCATTTTGTATGTTAACAATACAATACCTTTCATCCCACAACAAACACTGTGACATATGCATGGAAAATGTTAAGGATGACACAATAGTATAATAGCATCGAGCTCTTCTTTCCAGAAAGACAAATCTAGTGATATAACATTATCTCCTTTTTGATTTTGATTCGAATTATTTCTGTCTCTCTTTCTGTCCTTGTTTCTGTCTTTTTCCCACCTTTCCTGGATTGCCACCATCTATCTGGTTCAGAAGTGGACAGGACATCCTGGACAGTGTGGGCCAGCTGACTGTTTGGGTTCCTGGAGTCACATGGACAACACTTCATCCTCCTCTGAGACACAAAAAACAAACAAACAAATCATTAACAACAGACATTCCTGCAGAGTTACATGGTAATATTTGGTGTATGTATGTATTGAATTGTGCCACTCTGAGTGTCAAATGTTCTGAAACTGACCCATGGACCTCAGACCAACTTCCAAATGTGTCTCTTTGCCTCTCTGCTATGCCAGGTAGATAAGCTGTGTCACTGGGCAGGTCACACAGTGGGCAGCCATTCAATATTCCTCAGATGGGAAACCTGATGGCGGTCCTATATTTAAACAACGTTTTGATAAAGCTGTCAAAACAGCTTGGGGGCAAACTTCTCCCCAGTAACAGACAACACAGGACAGTGTGCTGCTCTGGTTCATATCTGACCATGTTTTTTTATAAATAACATTTTGTGACACCAGTGGAACTTATGCTAGACTCGTCGATGTTGAAAAGACAACCACATTCTGAAGATGATAAAATATATAGTCACATCTTGAATTAGAATTTCAGCAAAAATATATGTAGCTTTTTTCTTTTAACCATCTCCAAAATGTAGTTGTCTTTTCAACATAGAGAGCCTAGCACATAGCATATCTCACTACAGGAAAGGAGGCAGTTGACCAAAGTTCTGACTGAAGCTCAACTGTCAATTCCACTGAACAATTTTTTAATGGACCTTTTTCACAGCAGCCATTTTGGCATGAAATAGTAGGGTAATGATATTAATTAAGGTTCCATTCAGGTCAAACAGAGTCAGGGTGCTGCTATTCTTCCAGCGCCGCAGAGAGTGGCAGCTCGACACAACAGCTCCCGCTGCCCCTCTCTTTGAATTTCTCAATAAAGGGATCAATAAAGGAACATCTTATCATATCTTATCTTACTGTGCATTTTGTCTCACTGGAAAGGCTATGCTACACTGGTAACACCTGAGTTTACCTTACTATTTCATGTCAAAAGCATGTAAAAGTGAAAAGAGAATGCAGCAGTAAAAGCAGATAATGCCTAAATTACCATTGGCTGAACTGTTTTTTACCCACTGACGAGCTACGTGCTGTTCGTGATAATTCCCCACACAAGTGCTCACATCACTGACAGCTGGGCCGCTGTCAGTGATGTAATATTTATTACCGCCCTTTATGCTGGTACTCTAGACATGGCTGCCACTCTGGCACACACACCATGGCTGCTTTCCCTCTAGGTAAAAGTTCCCTCTGGGCTGCTGATTGTACAAAATAAAGGTCTTGATAATGTTTTTTCCCTCCAGCTACAGTACATATCTCAACTCGCTCATCTACATTTTCACATTAAGATCCAAGTTTTCAATCGAACTTCTTGTTTTCCAATGGAAAATGCTTGATCCAATGTCTGTAATTCAACTCTTTCATTAGCCTAGTTTAATGGATTTTATGGAAGCATTTTTGTTAAAACATACAATAAATTTTAAAAGTTTCAATAAGTTGGGAGTCCACCAGAGACTTCATACCCATTCAAGGCATCAGCTTCGCATGCTGTAACAGTTATAAATAAAAAAATAATACTTACATTAATAAACGTTTTTAAATACCTGCAAAAGGTATTTGTGCTAAGCTAGGCTAAACTAAATAACTTCAATGAATCCTGCACTGATCCCAGATATTTAACGTGTATGCCTTATAGGGCCACCAGTCCTTACTTCAATGCATTTAACTTTAAGTCTTTTAAAAGTATTTTTCCTTATTACAAACAGTGCCTCTTATCTAATCTCAGGAGATACAGATTTAATCCTCTCAAAGACTCAGGTGTGTCCATGTCAGGTTCACCACTGCTTCACCTCAGTAAAGAGAAGGAACAGGGAGATTCTTTTAAACTTTATACATGTATGTTAAAAGTGATCTAACGTGGCTTATTTCCAAAAGTTTCTGTCTCCAACGCACATGTAAACACACACTGTTTGCATTCTGTCGTTGCCAGCTGACTGTTGCACAAACGGAACATTTATTTGATTCTAAATTGGGGTATAAAGTCTACAGGGCATTATGGTAGATTAGCTGGCTAAACAAAATCTGGGACTGTATTGTCAGCAAGGAGGCTCAGGTTACATTTTAACTCATGTTACCTGTACCACTTCATGTTAACTAGTTTGCAGGACTGAAACCACTGGTGTTGGTTATATGCATGGTCATATGGTCAGTATCTGACATAATAGCATAAAGAATATATGAAACAGGGTTCAAAATCCAAATGTAGCTGAATCAAGTGCTCCTGAAGAACAGAAAACTTGCAGAGAACAAAGGAGCACACTGATTAATTCACAGCTCTTAAAGTACCAGTATGTAGGATTTAGTGTAGTGGTACATTTCTAAGTGTATAGGAGAAACTATGGTGAAAACCTTTTCAACCAAGTATCCAACTAGGTTGACCATATACATTGTTTGCCTCATGTCTTTGTCCATTTTGGCTCTGGTGAAGCACAATTACAGGCTGTGAATTAATCAGTGTGCTTCAGTCCTCCTTTTCCCCTGAAATAAAATATTAGATGTAGGCATGGTGACGATGTCACAATTATCTTGGCCAAAATAATTGCGATACACAATATTTTCACAATAATCAGGAAAATATACTTCATGCTTTTAAAATGGCACTAAACATACTGGAATCACTTTACCTTACATTCTGTTAAGACACACATATTTATTGTCTTTTCTTTTGTTGTTGTCTGTTTTGTTTTTTCGTTTGTCTGTTGTGATTGCTCTTGTCATTGATACAAGGTCCATTCATTTCCTCTTTTTTTTCTGCTTGTCCCCAGGGGTGGGGGGTGGGGGTTGAAAAAAAGTTTGTTCTTACATTTCTGAATGCTGTCACATTTTCAATTGTGAAAACCAATAAATAAAGTTTGGTGACATGACTTTAATGGCTGTTGTACTGAAGGAAGCCATGCTGTAGAAATGTACAGGAACTGTAATTTGCCACCCATCATCTTCCTTACCTATAGACACTACTTAACTTAATAATTTCAGCAAATTGCAAAGTAATTGTCAAGTGAGAAATAGAGCATTTAACTGTGCTAGTGTGCAGAGAGGCCTGAATAGTTTATATAATGGCTATACTGTTAATGTGAGCTTCAAAATGCCATCCATTACCTTAGCAGCAGTTCTTGGAAACTCAGAAAGCTGTTAGCAATTGTTAGTGAAGCACAACCTGGGTAACCAAAATAAAAGGGAATGGACCGGGTTGACAGGTTCTAAGACTGCCCTATACGCCCTAAATATTTCAATTGCTTCACAAAACAAAGGCAAAATGCTATGATGCCCAGTAAATTATCATATAATGTCATTATATGTCAGTCCATATTTAGCAATGTACATT